TCCTTTTTGTAGACAATGAGAATGAAAGTAGTTAAATTCCAATAACGTATGAGGCTTACAGAAAACCGGAAAACAGTTGACGGAAGCCGTGAAGAGCAGTCCACCCAATGAAACAAAAAATGATTTTTTTCAAGTATCAATCCACTTAGACAATTTCCGTGGTCTAAATCAAGTCTGGAGGCAAGGCCAGAAATTCTGAAATAACTCGGATTCCCCCGGCAAATAAAAAGCGGGTGGCCTTATTATAAGTGCGTTTTGCTCAGTTGTTAATGTGAAACATTATTTAAAACATGAAGTGTCTTTTCTTTGTAAAGACTAATGAAGGAGATAGCCCTCGTTTTCTTTCACACAAACAGACAAATCTCGCACGATATTCTACAAGTTCTAAAAAATTTGCAATGATATTGCTCAAACAAAGAGCCGATGGATTGCAATTTAAGCAATTTCAGAGAAAACTCTGGAAAAATACTGAACTGGCGCCTCCCAGATACTAACAAGGCGCCATTATATCAGCATTTCTTTGTTTGATTTTTATCGGCAGGTCAAATTAAATTTATGTCACCAGAAGTTGTTATAGACATTAAGGATACACTTTTGGTTTTCAACTATTAAGCCGAACAACATCAATCAGAATCTAATCACTCCTCACAATATTGCTATTGTTATGCATACCAAAGGTGTGCAGCCTAAGTAGACCGTAAAAAAAAAATATAAAGATGGAATTAAGCTGCAATATTCCACATTAAGGTAACTGGAATGTAGTTGACACCGCTTCCTTTGAAAAATAATTTCTGCAACGTGTAATTTCAATCCACTCGAACCGTTTAAGTGTTCCCAATGAGTCCTGCAATTATCGGGTTGTGAAGTACATGATGAAAATTAGACGTAGCCTAGGGGTATTTGTAGTTCTGAATTTATTTTCCATTCCTCGTAGCCCATTGTTCTATTTTCCTTGAGACAAATCGGCAAACAGCTTTTTGTCCGGCCTTTGAAAATATTCGATCCCTGAGTTAACAAATAGAGAAGCCTACACCAAGCCTTGACTGTGCTCTGGTTTGTTGTGAAGCACTTAGGAAGCGGCTAGAGCACGAAAGAAGTGTAGGGGGAAACACGAGACGTAGCCGAGTGTTTCTCCCTACTTTTTGAGTGCTCGAGCCGGTTCCTAAGTGCTTTACAATAGAACAGAGCACAGTCAAGGCTTCTCTATTTGTTTTACAATAAAGAATCCGTTAAACAAGACAAATTTTATTTCATAAGCGAACAACAGTGTCGTCAGCATGCTCTATACTCTCATAAAGCACGC